TCTTTGTTTTTTGCAGCCTAGACCCTAATTACCTGGCTAAACTATGACAGAGTTTTCTCCATGCTTGGTCTAAGCTTCAGTTCCTTTGCAGGGGAAAAAAACTTTGGAAAACAAGTTGTTTTTTCCCTAAACTCTCAGAGTCAGCATCTCTCCCATGTATTCCATTTTCTGGATGCTCTCTGTCCTCAGCCCATAACAAAATATTTTCCACCACCAAAGAAACATCTCTAAAAACAGCATTTAACAAATAAAAGCCACTTAAATGCTCCACCCAGGGTATTTTTTGAAAAAAAAAAAAATTAAAAAAAAAAAAACATTAGCCTTCAAAAAAAAAACCAGAACAAAATTCCCATCACTACAACAAAAAAATTACATGTGATCTTCTAAAACTAAAACACATTGTCATGACAGAGCAAGAAAGCTCTTTTCCTTAGGAAAATCTAAGAGCCTCTCTAGTGGCCTAGGGGTTAAGCCTCAGCACTATCTCTGTTAAGGCCTGAGTTCCTTTCCTGGCCAGGGAGCTAACCCACATATGGTGCAGCAGACCTCTCCTGTCTTGCCTGCTGCTCCCCTCAGCATTGTATTTCAGTAGACCCACCTGTCTCTGGTGAATCCTCTCGTTCCTCCAGCCCCCGTACCTCTGGCCTATACCCCAGTTCTTCTAGTAAATAAATATTAAAAAAGAAAAATCTCAAAAGATGATGCTAACACATTTTTACATTTCTTTATCTATCTCATCTTTGAACAAGGTATCATTTTGCTCATTGTTCTGATACAAAGAAAAAATTTCCCAGTATGTGGAAATTTCATTCAAGCAACAGAGAACTCAACAGAGAAATGTCCTCAGGGAGGATGGTATGAGTATTTCTGGAGATAGATGACAAGAAAGTAAATGTTTGGCTAAATTTAAACCCTGTTTTTTTTTTTAAGATTTATTTATTCATGCATACAAGAACTGAGGTACAGGCCAGAGATGCGGAGGGTGAGAGGATTCACCAGAGACTGAGCGGGGAATAGAACAGGCAGACTGACCGAAGTACACTGCTGAGAGGAGCAGCGGGCGAGACAGGAGAGGTCTGCCTCACCATGTGGGTAGCTCCCTGGCAGGCTGGGGATCAAACTCATGCTACAGAGGCTGTGGATTGCTTCATAGTGTGGTGCTTAACCCCTTGCACCACCAGGGAGGCCCTAAACCCTGCTTTTTAATAGGAAACTATATAACACAGAAGTTAAGAACATGAGATTTAGAGTCAGAAAGATTTATCCATTTTTCAGGAAATAAATTTGGTCAAACATTTTGCTTTGGGAAGATGTGGTATATATACACAATGGAATATTACTCAGCAATCAAAAAAGATAAACTTGGGCCTCCCCGGTGGCGCAGCGGTTGAGCGCTGGGTTGCGAAGCTGCCCGCAGCCTCTGCAGCGCCGGTTCGATCCCTGGCTGCTCCCCGGCCACCGGAGGAGGGTCCCACATGGCGCACAGACCTCTCCTGCTGCCCGCTGCTCCCCTCAGCAGTGTACTTCTGCCTGCTCTGATCCCTGCTCTGGCTCTGGTGAATTCTCTCACCCTCCTGTGCTTCTGACTGTACCCAGTGCTTGTATAAATAAATAAAATAAATAAATAAATCTTTAAAAAAAAAAAAGATAAACTCATGCCATTTGCAGCAACATGGATGGAGCTGGAAGGGATTATACTAAGCAAAATAAGTCAGAAGGATAAAGAAAGTATTGGATGGTATCTTTCTAGGAGGAATATAGGGAAACTGAACAAAGGGTCAGGAAAAAGACAAAACTTGCAAACTGATTTGAGGCACACAGCAGGGGAGGAGGGGGAGGGGGGTCAAACCAGGGGAGGGAAGAGCACAGAGCCTATAGTGATGGTTCAAGGTTGTGTAGTGGTGGGAGAACTACAGGGACTACACCTGAGGGGAGAAACCAAATATTGTAGAAAATATGTAATGTAAGAAAATATAAGAAAATACATTAAAAACAAAACAAAACAGACACATTTCACTTTAGGATCCTTTTAGGCCTAATGACCTCCTTTACACTTGCCCACCACTATCCATGTACCACAATGATCTTTTTAAAATATATAATAGCAGAATTTTCCATTGAAATAGACCTCATATAACAAAAGAGGTGTAGCAACCCCAATGCCCATCAGTAGATGTATGGGTAAAGAAAATGTGGTATATACATATGCTAGAATATTCTTTAGCCTTAAAGAAGGAAATCCTGTCATATGTTACAACATGGATGAACCTTGAGAATATTATTTTAAGTGAAATAAACCAGTCACAAAAAGACAGTGTATGATTCCACTTGTATGAAGTATCTGAAATAGGCAAATTCGTGGAAACAAAGTAGAATTGTGGTTGCCAGGGGTTGTGTAGAGGGGGAAATCAGGACTTCATGTTCAATGTATAGTGTTTCAGTATCACAAAATGAAAAATCCTAGAGACCAATTGTATAACAGTGTCAGTATTGTAAAAAATGACTAATATGGTAAATTTGGTGGTTTTTTTTAACCACAATTTTAAAAACTTTTTAACGCCAAACTTTTTTGCTTTTCTGTCTGGAAAACTCTTTCCTGTCCTGCTCCACACCCCGCCCCCCACCAGCTTACCTCACAACCCTATATTGTTTTTTTTTTAAATGTATTTTTTTTTTCTTTAAAGATTTATTTATTTGTTTATACAAGCACTGGGTACAGTCAGAAGCGCGGGAGGGTGAGAGAATTCACCAGCGCCAGAGCGGGGAACAGAACAGGCAGACTGACTGATACACTACTGAGGGGAGCATCGGGCAGCAGGAGAGGTCTGCCCGCCATGTGGGACCCTCGCCCACCGGCTGGGGATGGAACCGGCACTGCAGAGGCTGAGGGCAGCTTTGCTACCCAGCACTCAACTGCTGTGCCACCAGGGAGGCCCCACAACCCTATATTGTGAAACAGCTTCATCTTGAATCTCAGTCACATCACGTGTTTGTTCTTTTCAAATCACATCACAATTTGTAATTTGGTTATTTTTGTCTCTCTCTTCTACTCAACTATAAAATCTAAAGTTCAACGACTGTGTCTATATTTTAACCACACAACTAACTTTGCAATAGATATATATGTCCAATTTTTTTAAAATGAACAAACGAATCTAAACTGGGATACACTGGGTTGCAATAAGCATCAACTGCAGTAATGTGTTTATGACACAGGGCCTGACAAACAGTAAAAGACTGACCTGTATCTTTTTTTTTTTTTTTAAGATTTATTTATTTATACAAGCACTGGGTACAGTCAGAAGCGCGGGAGGATGAGAGAATTCACCAGAGCCAGAGCGGGGAAACAGAACAGGCAGAAGGACCGAAGTACACTTTTGAGGGGAGCAGTGGGCTGCAGGAGAGGTCTGTGCGCCATGTGGGACCTTCGTCGGCGGCCGGGAATCTAACTGGCACTGCAGAGGCTGCGGGCAGCCTCGCAACCCAGCGCTCAACCGCTGCGCCACTGGGGAGGCCCTGACCTGTATCTTTAGTGTAGAAAACTTTGATTGTAGCACATGACCTTTAAACTTCAATCCAACTCTGAGATTCTTAGGAATAGTGCAAGGGCTCTGAGCAAAGCAGAAGTATTCACATATTAGTAAGCAAAACACCGGACTTCTAGTCAGGAAGAGCAACTTTGCTTACAAGTAGGCTCCTTCATGCCTGGATATATAGATGCAGAAGTAGTTTATTCTTTGCTCAGAACTTACCAATACTCCCAGAACCATTCACAACCTGTAGGAGAAGATGAAATACTGTTAATCCTTGAACGTGGGAATTAATTCAGTAAAACAACTTAGGATCTGTGGGAGAAAAGTAGATAATTAAATAAAGAGGAAAGCAAAAACCAAATTGGAATTATTTTGGATAAGTATGCCCAGATCTGAAGTCCTGGAGTTTAAAATATGAAACTAATTAGTAGAGTGAGTGTAGACAACAGTGCAGGGGCCCTGCAAGTGTGATTTACTTCAGGTGAAACCTGAAGGCGCTGGTGTCTGTGCCCAGCTGTTTTAGGTTATAAGATTGGGGGCGGGAGGGGGGTGGAGAAAGGCTAAGAAGAGTCTTATCTTTGCCCTCAAATCTGTACAAGTTGTGCAACCTCAAGCAAATCTCTTTGGATCAAAGATTCCTATAGTCCAAATTGAGAAAACTGGATCAGTAATCCCTAATATTGCCCTCCAAATCTAACTCAGACTGTATAAACACAGATCTCCCTTCTTCCAAAAAGACCGCCCCACATCCAAAGTCGGCCCCAGGACTTCGAAACATCCTCCTTAACCTATTTGGCTTTTCCTCCGGAATGCACCATGCAGAGAGTGAAAGGCAACAGCTAAGCAAATGAAATCTTTCCTGTATCCTGCTAAAAAAAAAATCATAGGTCTTGTGCAATAAATAATGCAAAGTAAATGTAAACAACAAGTTTTGCTTCTCTAAAGCCTATCTAGATGAGCTTACCTAAAGGAGCTTATATGGGACTACCCAGGTCTGGGACCTCATGCATGAATAATAAAGCTTCTCCTGCCCTCACCATTCCTGAAGTACCACTTGTTCTTCCCCTGCCTGGGTAAAAGGCCAGAATTTATTTCTGCAACAAAAGCACCACCTTCCTAACGCTTCCTGAACCCCAACCATCAAGCAGGCTTTTCAAAGTTTCCTCCTCCTCCTTCTCTTACGATCTGCTCTCTATGCACTCTGGGTGCCAGCCCGGACCTCGAGAACCGGAAGCGGTTCTTCCGCCCTCGAAGTCCAATTGGATCCCGGGGACACAGTCCCAAACCCCGCCTCCGCCAGGGAGGCCTCTAGGCGGAGAGCGGAGGGCGAAATCGACTCGCTCGACGATCTGCAGCTTGGCCCCGCCCCCTCCGCCCTGAGCGCCGATCGGCTGGATGAGCGGGGGCGCTGCAGCGGCGGAGCGGCCGACGCGGAATCCGCGCCCACTGCCTGTGCTCCCCGCCTTCCTCCGCGGCTGCCAGCTCCTTCCCCCGCCCGCCCCGCGCGGCCCGCCCCGGAGCGCTGCCGGGAGCTCCCCGGGAGCCTCAGGTACTGGCGCCGGCCTGGTTCCTGACAGAGTGTCTGGCATTAGGAAGAAAGGAAACGGAGGTGACGCCCCCGCTTCGCCTCCCCCAACGTCCGCGTCCGGCCGGGGCACTGGAGGAGGGGGCGGCTGTCAGGGGCCCCCCAGTGGAAAAGCCTGAGGGTCTGGTTGGGGTATGCAGAGGAAGGACGACCTGGGGGATGACCTGGGGGGGCGGTTGGGGGGCGGTGGTGGGAGGGGAAAGCGATGGAAGGGGGCTCTGGGCGAGGGGGGAAGGTTTGAGAAGAGTGGGAGGCGGTCCGGAATCTGAGTGGGTTATTGGGGCAGAAAAGGCCAGACTTAGGAGCAGATGTTGGGGGACGTGGCCTGATGCGACAGTTGGGGTGCGGGCGGGGGACGGGGTGAACCAAGCTACTTGCCGAAAGAGGTGGGTTTGTTTTCATTTGAAGGCTCTGGGGAAAGAGCGCCAACCCTGCTGCGTTCCTAGGGACGGGCAGGTGAGGTGAATCATTACACTTTCGCAGGTTGTGTGAATAACACCTCCAGGCTGTGTCCATCCCGGTCACTTTATTATCGTGAACCCGCACGGAGCAAGACTGCTGATGAAAGATGAGGAAGAGGACTGAGAAAGGGGAATGGAGGCTGGGAAAAGGGAACCTTCTGCCTAGATTCAAGCTTCTTGTGAAATGAAATACATAGATTTTTTTTGGTGGTGGTTTTGCAACTAGGGTTTGTTAAAAAAAAAAAAAAAACAAACAGCACAGCTTGGATTGAATAGGTTACAAGTTTATTATGTATAGTTACTTAGAGAATACACCACTTTTTCAAAAAAAATCTACATGAAATTAGAAAGATCTGATGAGGGCATAATTGGGTGATGTGACCTTTTAGAAGTGATTTGGGTATTGGTTTCCCAACCTCAATGTCGGAATGCATCATGAAGGCTCTTGTTTCATATATACCTAGACACAGGCATCTGAATTCTATTGAAAGATAAGCCGAGGGATATTAAATTTTTTTTTAGTTTATCTGAGCAAAAATTGACTATTCAGATGGCATCCAGTTTCTAGCAGCTGGAAAGGAGCTGGAAGGAGTTGTACAAAATCAAAGGCTTTTATAGCCAAAAGGGAGCAGAAAGAAGAAAGTTAAAGTAGGCAAAAAACGTTTGGTTATTACAGGGCTACTTTTCTTTAGGGGATGGCAGAGATTTATCAGCCAGATAACCTAACTGGCTCATCAAGCTCTTCCTTATTGACATCTCTGGGAGAGGTAAAACTACAATTAAATCTGGGATTGGCAAGTGGGACTTAGCATAGGTGACTCCATTTTGGGTCTGTTGTTTTGTTTTTAACTATTCATATTTTTTTTTAAAGATTTATTTATTTATACAAGCACTGGGTACAGTCACAAGTGTGGGAGGGTGAGAGAACTCACCAGAGCCAGAGTGGGGAGCAGAACAGGCAGAAGGACCGAAGTACACTGCTGAGGGGAGCAGCGGGCGTGGCAGGAGAAGTGTGCGCGCCATGTGGGTTGCTGCCTAGCTGGGTGAGGATTGAACTCATGCTGCAGAGGCTGCGGATTGCTTCATAGTGCTGTGCTTAACCCCTTGCACCACCAGGGAGGCCCCCATATGAATTTTTTACACGAGAACTCTTAGAGTATATCTACCTAATTTCTATCTAACCTGTATCTATTTAGTTTCTGAGCATGATTTATTTCTACTAGTTGTTTGGTATAGATATCATTAGTTACCCTGTGGTTTAATCTTCCTGCTGCTTTGCTGAGGGCTTTTCTGTTTGTCAGACACAGGTTTCTTACTGTCATGAGGCTAATCCTTAGATTATGGGAGCTGACTGTGGGGTTTATGTGTAGTTTTGCTGTATGTTTCATAAATACGTAAGTCTTTGGGAGCAAAGAAAATTATCCGAAACCTCCCAACCCCGGGTTCTTCTTTGACTGGACAAACAATCAAAACAACATCAGGTGGAGCAAAGGATCTATTTGAATACTGATGGAGAATTTACATGGTTGTAAATTCTAAAAGATAATGAAACACAACAGGAATATTTATCTTGCATTTAGGGTCATGGGGTGTCAAGAAGAAAGAAGAAACTTCAGATGACTGAAAAGAGGGGAATGGTATCCTCATCTTGAAGAGTAAAGATGAGATTCTTAGATAGAGGGCACCTATTCACTGATAAACAACTCCATGAGACCCTCCAAACTACATTCTTTTAGGTATCTCTTCAGTTAGTGATGGCAAAGAATTTAGGCAAGGACAGAAGCTTCTCCTAACCTTTAGGGTCTTTACTATTCTTTAGGGTCTTTACTATTCTCAACCTAAAATGATCTGCATTCTTTAAGTAAGGATAATGCTCACAGGGCCTTGATTGACCTCTAGTTTTCATGTCATGGTTTCTAGAGGCCTACTCTGGGCATGCTGAGCAAAGTCTTTTTCTTTTGGGGAGATGGAACCTACATCTGTCTTGTATTTGCTTTTTTTTTTTCTTTTAAAGATTTATATATGCATATAAGAGCCGGGGTACTGGCCAGAGGTGTGGGGGTTAAGAGGATTCACCAGAGACAGATTGGGGAACAGAACAGGCAGATTGACCAAAGTACACTGCTGAGGGGAGCAGTGGGCGAGTCAAGAGAGGTCTGTTGTGTCATGTGGGTTGCCCCCTGGCTGGCTGGGGGATTGAACTTGTGCTGCAGTGGCTGCAGACAGCTTCATAGGTTGGTGTCTTAACCCCTTGCACCACCAGGGAGGCCCTGCTTTGGGTTGTTGAGGCTTCCCTTTTGTAGGGTTTTAAATATAAGTAAAATACAGGTGTAATTAAAAGGTCAAGTTCTTCATTGCTCCCTTTGTCACCTGTTTTTCCATGCATTCTGTAACATTTCTTCATGAATGCATTACTCTTTTTATCGATTTGTCATTAGTTTTACATTACTGTATAATTTGGTGAGTACAACTTTATATCCATAAGTCTCCACCAAAACTTTAGTGCTGGCACCCTATCATCTTCTGTCTCCTATGACCTCTCTTCCCCATGAATGGATTAGTCTGAAATCAAAATATGAGGAATAAAATGGGCAGGATGCCCTGGACAGAAATTTTATAAAAGATAAAATTCTAGAGTTATTACTTAGGTAGCAAAAAAAATTGTTTTATTTTTATTTATGCATACAAGGGGTGTAGGCCAGAAGTAGGGGGGGGGGGTTGGGGAGGGAAGAAGATTCACCAGAGACAGAGTGGGGAGCAGAACAGGCAGATGTACTGAAATACACTGCTGAGGGGAGCAGCAGGGGAGACAGGAGAGGTCTGCTGCGCCATGTGGATTGCTCCCTCGCAGGCCGGGGATTGAACTCATGCTTCAGTGGCTGCGGATTGCTTCATAGTGAGGTGCTTAACCCCTTGCACCACCAGGGAGGCCCTGTAATTGCTGTTTTAATGTAGTAAATGAAAGTGAGCGAACTGAAAGTATCCTGACTTTATGCCAAGTTATAATCTTAAAGCATTTTATGTCAATTTCAGGAGACTATCTTTTTTCCCTCTCCTGTATAATCTGCTCTTTGATTTTATAAGAACCTCATATTCTTTTAAGAAGGCTACATCCATTTTCTCACGGTTTTAACTATTAAGATTTGAGGCCTAGCATGGAGGCCAGGAACATTTGAGTGTAGCAAATGAGCAGGGAGTAGGTGAAGTCAGAAAAATGAAGGGGGGGGGGTCCTCCCTGGTGGCGCAGGGGGTTGGGGCACAACCTATAAAGCTGTCCACAGTCATGGCCACACAAGTTCCATCCCCAGCTAGGGAGCTGCCCACATGGCGCAGCAGACCTCTCCTAACTCGCCTGCTGCTCCCCTCAGCAGTGTATTTCAGTAGATCTGCCTGTTCTGTTCCCCGTTCTGTCTCTGGTGAATCCTCTCACCCCCCACAATTCTGGCCTATACCCCAGTTCTTGTATGTATGTATAAATAAGTAAATCTTTAAAAAAAAAAGAAAAAGAAAAAATGAAGGGGGAGCCTATCACATAGGACCTTATATTCCAAAGGGCTTTAACTTATACCCAAAGTGTCAAATCTGATTAAGTTTATTTTCTCTTTAAGGTGGTGAATACGTGTTCTACTGAGAAGTTATTTCGTGAGTGAAAAATATGCCTCCCAAATTCAAGCGTCACCTAAATGATGATGATGTTACTGGTTCTGTGAAAAGTGAAAGGGTAAGTTCAGAATTGTAAGCTTTAAAAGAGAAAAATAGAAAATATGCTTCTCTTTCTTTTTTTAATGTGTTTTGGAAAATCCTCAGGGTTTTTGCTATATTCTAATTCTATTTGTTTTCTTACTTAGATTGGTGACTCAACTGAATACCACTTTCATTGTCAAATTATGCTCACAACTTTGGTTTTTCAGAGGGAATTTGTACAAATACACAAATTCTCATTCAGAACTCTAGAGCCAAATGTGGTTAGAATTCAGATTTTTTTTAATTGAAGTAACATTGCATTATAAAATCATGTAAGTTTCAGACGTGTATCAGTAAAAATCAGTATGTGTTTATACTACATTAAGTTCACCATTTAAAGTCCCAAGTCTGTCCTCCTCCTTTTACACTGTTTACCCACTCATCTGATAGCCACTAATTGGCCTTATAGTCTAAAAATTTAACTTTTCTTTAGTTCATCCATTTGTTGGTTTCTCTATATACCACATATGAATAAGATCTTATGGTTTTTGTCTCTCTCTGTCTGACTTATTTCATGAAGTATAGTACCCTCTAGGTCAGTCTACATTGCTGCAAATAGTAATATTTTATCTTTATTATAGCTTTTTTTTAATAGTAGTAGTAGGTATATGTACCGTATCTTTTTGACCATTCATCTGTTGATAACTTAGATGGTTTCCAGCTCTTGGCTATTGTAAATAATGCTGCAGTAAACATGGGGGTGCATATTTCTCTCCAAATTAGTGTTTTTGTATCTTTCAGGTAAACATCCAAAAGTGGAATAATGGAATAATTGGATCATACCAAATTTCTGCTTTTAATCTCCATACTATTTTTAATAGCTGCACCAATTTACATTTCTACCAACAGTACACAAGGCTTCCCTTCTTTCCACATCATTTCAGTACTTGTTTCTTGTCTGTTGGATGATAGCTATTCTCACAGGTGTGAGGTAATATATTGTTTTGTTCCCTCAATAATAAGAGCTGAACATCTTTTCAATGCCTGTTGGCCATCTATGTATCTTATTTGGAGAAGTGTGTGTTTATATTTTCTGCCCATTTTTAATCTATTTGTTTTTTGGTTTTGAGTTGTGAGTTTTTTATATATTTTGTATACTTAACCTCTTATTGTACATATGATATGTAAATATCTTCTCCCATTTAGTAGGGTGTCTTCATTTTGATGACAGTATCTTTTATGCAGAAGTTTTTTACTTTGATATGGTACCATTTGTTTATTTTTGCTTTTGTTTTCCTTGCTGATGGAATCAAGTCCTCGGAGACTTGTCTAAGGCTGATGTCAAGGAGCATATATTTTCTTCTATGTGTTTTATGGTTTCACATGTTAACATCCAGGTCTAATTCATTTTGAGTTAAATTTTGTGTATAGTATTTAGATAGTGGTCTAGTTTTGTTCTTTTGCATGGGGCTGTCCAATTTTAACAGACAATCCATGCTCTGTTATCTGCTCTCATTTCCTTTTTTCATAAATTTTATTGTTCCATTTATGTACCAGTTTATTTCTGGGCTCTCAGTTCTGTTCCACTGATCTCAGAGACCATTTTCATGCTCCCCTCACCCAACCTCACCCCAGACTGTTTTTGCTGTTTGGGGACTTTGCTGTTTTTGAACAAATTTCATGACTTTGGGCCTCTCCGGCGGCACTAGGGGTTGAAATGCAACTTGTGAAGCTGTCCACAGCCACCGCAGCACGAGTTCCATCCCCGGCCAGGCCTGGCCCTCCCGCTGCTCCCCTCAGCAGTGTATTTCATTCAGTCCACCTGTTCTGTTCCCCGCTCTGTCTCTGGTGAGCCCTCTCACCCCCAACACCTCTGGCCTGTACCCCAGTTCTTGTATGAATAAATAAATCTTAAAAAAAAATTTCTTGCTTTTTGGTTTATTTCTGTTAGGATTTTGATAGGGATTACATTTAACCTGTATATTGCATTGGTAATATAACCATTTTAACTATGTTAAATCTTCCAGTCTATGAATATGGAATATCTTTCCACCTCTTTGTGTCTTCTACTTCTTAGAGTTTTCCATGTACAAATCTTTCACTTATTGCATTAACATTATTCCAATGTATTTAATTCTTTTTGATGTGGTTGCAAATGGGATTGCTTTTCTGATTTCTCTGCTAGTTTGCAATAGATTGCAGCCAGATTTTTATATACTAATTTTGTAGTCTGCCACTTTTACTGTAGTCATTTATTATCCCTAATAGTCATTTATTATCCCTAGTAGCTTTTTACTGGAGTTTTGGGATTTCCTATGTATATTATGTTATCTGTAAGAATAATAACGTTACTTCTTCCTTTCCAATTTGAATACATTTTATATACTTATCTAATTGCTTTGACTAGGACTTCTGGCTATTTTGCATAGTAGTGATGAGAGTGATCCTTACCTTGTTCCTGATCTCAGAGGAAACATTTTTAACAGTGCCTACCATATAAAGGATAAGTGTATTTGAATTAATGCTGTTTTCATTTTCCTACTCTATTATATATTATTACACAGATTGTCATATTTCTCGATGTTTTCCAAATCATTTTTCTTCTCCCCACCCTACTGGGCAGTAAAAAAAATTCCTTCTTTTCTCCCTCTTCCCCTCTCTATTAAGTATATTTCAACAGTATTTGTTTACATCTGTGTTCACCTACAAACCAAAAACCTCGCCCCTTCCATTGTTTCCCTTTTTCATTCTAGTCCCACTTGTCCCTTGTACTCCTCCGCCCCCTAAGATGAACATGTTACTCTGCTTTTATTTCCCCACTTTACTTTCCCACTTTCAGATTCTGGATTTTGTTAAATGAGAATTTTTGAAAGTTTTTCCTTACATGCCTTTTCTTTTCAAGAACTATAAGTTATAGTACACAATCACATTGTCATCATCCATTTAGATTTGACAACACATAATATTCGATTCTTGGTCATATTGTTTTAAGCTCTTTGTTCTGATTTAATTTTCTTTGTGACTGGTGTAATTCTTTGAGTAATTTCCTCAGAAAAGGTACGTGGGTAGTGTATTTGTGTCCTGTTGTTTCAAATTACTGCATACTTAAAAAAGGTTTTATTATCTTAAAGTTCTGCTGACCCATAGCCCAAAATGGGTCTTAATGGGCCAAATAATCAAGGTGCCAATAGGGCTGTGTTCCTTCTGGGGAAAAATCTGTGCCCTTGCGTTTCCTAGCCTCTGCCTGTCCTTTTTGACCCATTTCTACATCTTTAAAGACAACAGTGCAACATCTTCCAATCTCTGTGACACCTCTGCCTACCCTTTTTACGAGCTCTTAAAATTACATTAGTTCCATACAAATAATCCATAATGATCCTATTTGAAGATCTTTGACGTAATCATGTCTGCGTAGTTTTTGCCATGCATAGGTTACAGGGGTTAGGATGTGGAATAATGGCTCCCTAAAGATACAGGTTATGTGCTGTTTGAGATTTTATATACTGAAAAGATCTGGCTTTGTTCTTTTTTATGGGCCTTTTTGAACTTTTATTTTCTCCTTTGGAGGGGAGGATGGCACCATCTTGTTAAGGAAAATAGTTGCATCTTAGAAGGTAAGTGTAAAGACAGCTGTTTGTGGACTAAGTTGCTAGTAGTTGGGAACTGTGCCCATTATTAAGCCCTTGTCTCTCAATTCCAACCCTACCTCTGTTCTCTCTGATGCTAGAGTTGGCCTCCACACTTACATTTCTCCTTTGCCACCTGGCTTACCATTAAGAGATGGTAAGATTAGAAAGCAAGAGGAAGGAGAAAGATGGGAAGGAAAGAGGAAGGAGAGGGACTTTAACACTGCCTGAAGTTCCCTATTCCACCAGTTTCTGTGACCTTTTTCCCTTGTCAGTTTTAAGATTCTTGTATTTATGATACCATTTTCTCTAAAGAACATGCAAATGTGTTTCATATATGTGGTTCCACATCTTTCCTTTTTTAGCGTAGAGCATGCAGTTTGTTTCTGAATTTGGAACTCAAATTTTACCAGCATAGAACTTGTTTCATTACTTCTCTCTGGCAGACTGTAAGTCCTCTGACTCTGAAAACTGAGTTTTTCCCTCTATTTTTTGACAGAGAAATCTTTTGGAAGATGATTCAGATGAAGAAGAAGATTTTTTTCTGTAAGTTTTTAATACTTTATTAGGGTATAATTGACATATAATGAAATGCCTATAAAATACACAGTGAATTTTGACATGAATACCTGTGAAATTATCACCAAACTCAAATAATGAATATAAATATCATCTCAGATGTTTCCTCATACTCATTGGTAATTTCTCACTCTCCTAGTACTCAGGCAATAATTGATCTGCATCCTCTAACTATAGTTTGCATTTTCTAGAATTTTTTACGAGTGGAATCATACAGTGTACTTTGCTGGTTTGATTTACTCAAGCATAATTATTTTGTGATTCATCCATGCTGTTACATGTGTCAGTAGGTTTTTAGTTGAGTACATTCTATTGTATGAATGTACTGCAGTTCAGTCATCCATTCACTTATTGATGAATATTTGGGATACTTCTAGTTTTTAGCTATTATGAATAAAGCTACTATATAAACATTTATGTATATATGGTTTTGTGTGGACATATGCTTTCTCTTGGATAATACTTAGGAGTGGAGTGATTAGTGTATATTTACAGCTGTTTTCCAAACATGGTTTTAATTTATATTCATTAATTTGTATTCAAATTAATTTGTATTCATTTAATTTGTATTCAAATTTAATTTGAAGGTCATATATATTTGCCATTCTTTTATGAATTACATGTTAAAATTTTTTTGCTGAATTTTAAATTTAAGGGTTTTTTATGTATACAGTTTGTTGTCATACATATACTAATATTTACTACCACCCCAATTTAATCACTCCATTAAATTTTTTAAAAGAGTTTTTGCTTATTTAAGAAATCTTTGCCAAGCCCAACCAAGGTCACTAAGATTCTTCTTTTTCCTAGGAATTGTATGGTTTTGGCTTTTACATTTAGGTCTATTATCTGTGTTAAGCTAATTTTTATATATAGTTAAGGGTGAGAATAATACTTTTCAGCATTTGGCTATCCAATTGATCCATCATCTGATGAAATTATCCTTTCCGCCCATTGAATTGCCTTTGTTACTTTGTCTAATTGACCTGATTGTAGTTATGATTGTAGTTTGATTGTAATTATGATTGGTAAGGGCTCTCAAAGACCTTGATTTGTATTTGCAAAATTAGGTAGGATAACATTCTTATAGGACTTTTCTCTGGAGATTGATGTGGAGGATATGCCCAAGAACAAACATTTACTACTACTTTTGTTACGTGAATTTCTTGGTAGAGGCTTTTTTTAATAGAAAATAATTGGCAGCATGAAACAATGGACAAAAAATAGGAAATCATTTTTTGGAAGAAAGGTCAGATAAAGTAGGAAGTAATTTCCTGTAGACGATAAAATTTCCATAGTCACAGAACTGCTCACAATGCCAATGACAGTGAGAAGCCTCAGACTAGAGTAGCTATGTGTTAAAAAGGAACTCCAGGGCCTCCCCAGTGGCACAGTGGGTTGAGCGCAGCACTGTGAAGCTGTCCGCAACCCTCTAATTGCGGGTTCAATTCCTGGCTGGCCAGGGAGATACCCACATGGCACAGCAGACCTCTTCTGTCTCGCCCGCTGCTCCCCTCAGCAGTGTATCTCAGTAAATTCATCTGTTATGCTCCCTACTCTGTCTCTGGTGAATCCTCTCACCCTCCCGTGCCTCTGGCCTGTACCCCAGTTCTTGTATAAATAAATCTTTTTTTTTTTTTAAAAAAAAGGAACTCCATATTCAACAGAAGACCAGGTTTTTTGGTTAAATAAGTGATTACCTGAATGTAAGTTAATATTTGTGTGAGAAACAGAACTTTTCAGATCAATAGTGTAACAGGAGTCCCATTCCTGAATAATACTATACATCTTCAAAAGGGTGTGACGACAAACCCAGCATACTTGTTCAAAATGCAGCTTCCATAGCCTGTGGCTCTCAAAGGGAGAAAGTTCTTGAAATAGCTTCTAAAAATTAACATTAATGTTCATAGTAGCTTTATTCACAATAGCCAAAAGGTGGATGCAACCCAGGTATCCATCTGTGAAGGAATGGGTAAACAAAAGACAGTATTTATATTTAGTGGAATATTACTCAGTCTTTTTTTTTTTTAAAGATTTATTTATTCATACAAGCATTGGGTACAGTCAGAAGCGCGGGAGGGTGAGAGAATTCACCAGAGAGGAGAGCAGAGCAGGCAGACTGACAAAGTACACTGCTGAGGGGAGCAGTGGGCGGCAGGAGAGGTCTACGCGCCATGTGGGACCCTCGCCCGGTGGCCAGGGATCCAACCGTTGCTGCAGAGGCTGAGGGCAGCTTCGCAACCCAGCGCTCAACCGCTGCGCCACCGGGGAGGCCCCTATTACTCAGTCTTAAAAGGAAAATTCTGACATAATTATAAAATTGATGAGTCTTAAATTATGCTAAGGAAATAAGATGGTCACATAATTCTAGTTATGAGGTACCTAGAGTAGTCAAATTCACAGTTCATAGAGAACAAAATAGAACAGAGCTTCTGAGAGCGGTAGGAGCAGGGGAGTTAGGGTTTGATAGAGAATCTACTTTTGAGTTTTGTCAAATACTCTATTTTCAGAATAATCATTAAAATATTCAAAGGTTTTCACTTCCAGGATATTAAAATGGGTAAGTTAAAGTGGTATTAACTATAATAGATAATTTGAGAAATGTTGATTTTTCATAGACGCTTATATTTGCTATGTTGGTAAGCTGAAAATGAATCATCAAAAACCAACTTAAAACGTTTTAGTTTTGAATGGATTTTTCTCTGTACCGACCTCTGATAGTCAGCATTTCATCATAACTGAAATTTAAAGTGAGTTGTATGGCCTGCATTTTATAATTGATCATAAAACTATTCATAATTGTTCATAACTACTCAATTATTGCCACTTTAGTATGTTAGTTTAATGATTAAAACAACTGTATGACTAAGGGTTATATAAGCCCATAATTTCTCTGAAAGTTGTAACATTCAGAATTAAGTTAATTGTCGCCAACACTATGTACCAGTGAAATACGGACATGATTGTATATCATTCAGTTTCAGCAATACTGTAAAGTGTGGTTCCTATGATAAATGACTAATGCATGTCTATAATTCAGCTTGAGTGTGTGTTCTATTTTTTTAATGCCCTTATTGCTAATACGTATGTGATTTTGTTTTCAGAAGGGGGCCATCTGGACCAAGATTTGGACCTAGAAATGATAAAATTAAGCAGTAAGTTCCTGAGATAGTCCTTTGTTTAAATGATTACTATATTTCTATGTAGAACAGGGGTTGGTAACATACAGCGTGTGAGCCAAATCTGGTTACTGCCTGTTTTTGTAAATAGTTTTATTTACAAACACAGCCATACCTGTTTTTCTTATGGCACAGTCGAGTAATTGTGACAGAAATCTAAAATGTATGTTTACAGAAAAAAATTTGCCCCATCTTGATGTAGACTTAATATAACTAATGGGTTTCAAAAACCCAATGATTTTTAATTTCATGCAGCTGCCTCTGAATAATAGCAAAGGAAATGTAATTCCTGGCTGTTGGTATTACTGAACTTGGTTACCTGATGTCAAATGCATTTAGCCTAAATAAGATCTGTTTTGGTGTAAAGCTACAGCTTTATTTCCATTTTCAAAGTGATACTGTACTATCTACTATCAGAAATTTTTATCTATAATCTTAAATCTTATGGCTGATTTTCAGTTTACATGTTTTCTACATAGTTGGTGGTATATGATGGGTAATGCTATAGTGACTGGATCTAATGTTAGAAGGATATGAATCATGACAAGAAGGAATTGATGCAAGTTGCAGCCCTGGAAACTGATTAAGCTATAAAGGCTAACTATGGACGATAAACTGAATTACCCAAGTTCAGGATCTACAGAGAACTTGTTGCCTCCCTAACTCTGGATATAGCTGACACATTTTGGGAAGGGTACATGGGGTATCTAGTTACTGTTGAGATACCTGAGTTCTTGTCAGCTAGCCCACACTTAATCCACTCATAACTAATGGATTCCAAAGTACTGAACCAACAAATTGATTTGAGTACTAGATAATGTTTTCATTTTCTATTGCTGTGTAAACAAATTACCATCAACTTAGTAGCCAGAAGCAACCCATATAATCATCCCACATTTTTTCCCTGAGTCTAGATGGATTTCAGTCACTGCTTAGGTAGGCGCTCTCTACAGGGTCTCAGAAGCCTGCAATCATTGTGTCACCAGACCTGTGATCTCATTGATGCTCTGGACCAAGTTCAGGTGGTTGTTGACAGAATTCATGCCTTTGCAGCTGTAGTACGTGGGGTGCTTGTTTCTTCAAGGCCAACAGAAGAGTCTCTTGCTGCTTCAAGCATCTGCTTTGGCCAGTGAAGATGAAAGGAGCCACTTAGATTCAGACAGTTAATTACTTACTTAGTAAAAAGAGAAGCAGCCAAAGGTACCAGCTCCCTGGGTACTTGCCCCACACACCAAAAACAATGATACCAAAACAAAAGGGGTGGTGTGGCTACAATGAGTTATGGGAAATCCTGTGACAAAGGTGCCAATTCTAGACTGCATCTAAGTGGTTTCTCTAGTCTGCAGATAGACCCCTGCAGCAGACCTCAACATAATCTCAGAGGTAGTAGAACTTGTTTAAGACAGGTTTTTAGGGAAGAAAGCCTCACAAGCCATTCATTGGCCCATGTTTTAGAATGATCAGAAGGCATTCACAATTACTATTTTTTGTTAGCAGAGCTGTTCCCCTCTGCTGAGCCAGAGTGACTTCTGTATCCATCTACCTGGTCTTGTTCTCTTATACCAATACTGATGACACCTGGTATTTGTTTTGGCAGTATGCTTAGTTTCCTGTCTGATGTCCTTGCAGAGCGAGCAGCTACTGAGTACAGTCTCTTGAGTTGACTGTTGAGCTGAATCCCAAAAATTACTGTCACTTGTACAAAGTGGACATCGCAGGGTATATGTCTTTGTTAGTAATTGCCAAATACACATACACATGAATGTGTAATTACAATAATTTTGGTGATCACAGAATTTTAGAATGGCAAGGAATTAAGTCCCATGGCTCTTACTCTAGAACTGAAGGTGGTCAGTAATATCAACACAGATTAAATCTTGTATCCACAACCTCATGAAAGCTTACTAACCAGGGATGATACAAATGTGTGTGCCCAACACAGTAGAGCACAACTTGCCATGGACAAACCCCTGAGATTATAGTGACCAAAATGCTAGGGTTAGTGAATGTTAGGTTATTACCATTTAATTATAACATTTCCTTATAGGCTGCAGTATTTTTCCTTGTTGGGCATGTTAACATTACTTTTCAAGAAGATTGTTTTGGAAAGTGATTTTAAATATTCACATAGCTACATAAAAATTATGGTTTTTGGAATGTTTCCTTTGCCACTCTAGTGAATTTATTCTCTGCCAGAGGTAGGGACACTTTCCTAACTGTAGTCTTGAACCTACCAGTTGAAAGGCCAAGGAATGTTCTACATTGTAACTGTGTGTGTATGGCTTTAAATATAACATAGTTTAAAAAATTCTATGTCAACAATACTTTCAAGGACCACAAGATGGGGCTGTTAACAGTGAATTATTTTCTTTAATAAGGGATGTTGGTTCCAGAATGCGGTTTTTCTTAATGGAAGAGTACTGACACTGCTAAACACATGCTTGAGTGTTAGGCACTGTGCTAAGTGTTTAATAAACACTGTCACATCTAATTATCAAAAGTGAGAGATTATCATCTTCATTTTAAAGGTGAGAAAATGAGGCCCAAAGATGCTTGCACAGCCACATAAATAGTAAGTGATAGAGCTGGCTTGCAAATCCAAGAGCCTGTGTCTGAATCCAGAGCCCCTGCCCTTTATACTTACCCTACAGATAAGAGGGACCTATTTTACATTTTTATTCATTGTTTTCCCAGTGCCTAGAACAGGACATAGTAGGCTCTTATTTATAAATTCATTAATTAGGAGCCTCCCTGGTGGCATAGGGGTAAGTCTCAGCGCTATCACATTATAAATTTATTAGTTGAAGTATTTTGCCATTGTTCTAGTCACCTAAGCAGAGAGCTAGTGATGTTCTATCTTATAGAAGGAATTCATAGGGATTCAGGGACTCTTTCAGACTGTTTGGACTGAGAATTCTACATTCCCAACGTGGTTGCTTTTCAGCCTCTATCAGTAACATACTGTGTGGAAGGCACACTGTAGCAACTATGATGAACCTTATAGGCTATGTCTGCATAGTCAGTGGGCATATTTACTAGTTTTAACATGGGAGGGAGGTGACAGTAATTATTACTTGGATCTGGGAATTCTTCTGAACCCACCGATGTCTAAATGGGCATTTTGTTTTAAAGCACACTTTGAAGATAAAACTTCATTGATAGGAAAAGGAGAGAGAACCCTTTTCAAAATTACTCATGTCCATATGTGCTAATCTAATTCGTTAGGCTATTTTGGGGAATAAAGTGTACAGTGGGTGGCAGAGAAGAAGTATGTCTGTATTGTGAAAAGCTCTTCAGGTGATAACACAATTCCCCAACTAGAAGCAACAATTGCTTATCCTTATTTAAAACATGTACATGTAATTATATACACAGACACACTTAGAATTCAGACAGCCTGAAATGTACTGTTCTGCTAGTAATGAAGGGCATTTTAAACAGTTTGAGTTATAAGCATGAGTTCAGTTTACTTTTAAATATTTCACTGGCATGACTTATTTTATAATTTAGTTTAATTTTATTGACTGGAGCAACAGAAAAACTAAACATATTCTGGTGGTAATTCTTGAAGAGTTGGCAGCTGAAAGCCAATTATAAACTTTTTAAACTTAGTTATATATTCATTGAATAGTATGAAATTTGGCAGAATAGGCCCATATCACCCAATATAAAGGAGGTAATCATTTTCATTTAAACAGCAAAACAGTTTTTTCCTCTTTCCTCCTTCATGGGCACTTTAAAAACCTTCCAAGGGTCCTCCATGGTGGCGTAAGAGGTTAAGCACAGCACTATGAAGCTATCCACAGCCTCTGAGTGCAGCATGAGTTCCTGGCTGCCAGGGAGCTACCCACATGGCACAGCAGACCTCCTGTCTCACCCGCTGCTCCCGTGAGGAGTGTATTTCAGTAGATCTGCCTGTTCTGTTCCCCACTGTCTCTGGTGAATCCTCTCACCTCTGGCATGTACCCCAATTCTTGTTTGCATAAATAAATCTTTAAAAAATAAATAAAAATAAAAACCTTCCAAAGTGTTGCCAGTTTTCCTAAAATAAACTCTGCTTAAGAGGAGACTCATAAGTATGCAATTATATCCGTTGAGTGTTTTGTAGACAGTAACATACATTTCCTTTTTGGAAACTTATTTTTTCATAAGCTTCTAACATACCTGAGAAGACTCCTTTGTTAATGTATGAACCACAGCAAGGGCAGGTTGCAGCTATAATGCCTCAATAGCCTATTGAAAATAAAACTTATTAGAGTCAATCTGTTTTACTAAATTCAGAAGTTACAGAGCACTGTGACAGTAATTTGCAGAAACAGTGCTAAAAATAAACTAAGTTCACCATTACTTTCATTTATATCATAATGAGTCATTTATAATGATATATAAATTATATCATAATTTATATCATTACTTTTATTTATATCCTACTTTAATTATGAGTACTCAAGCCCTAAAATGGAAGACAATTGCTACCAAGTCTTAAAATTTTATAGTTGACTAATTCTCTTACGAATTTATTTTCTATCATGTTTAAGTGAAAGTTTGAAAAATTTTGAAGTTTTTAAAAGAATAACTTAATTTTTTTTAAATTAGTGTTCAGAATCAGGTGGATGAAGTTATTGATGTCATGCAAGAAAATATTACAAAGGTAATTGAAAGAGGGGAGAGACTAGATGAACTACAGGACAAATCAGGTACAGATACTTCATATATTTATTGATATTATTGATGATTAGCTTTATTGATATTAGTTTATGTTTTGATAGTTTTTCTTCTTGCTATTTAGCCAAAGTTTAAGAATCTTGGCTTAAGAAAATAGCATGTTGTTCTTGAATTTCTGATTCTTAAATTTATGATTTTAGTGTTTTTATTTTGCTCACTTTTAATCATATTGTTTCTTAATTGTTGAGAACGGAAAATTTAAAAATTATTGAAGTGTTATTATTTTCTTTAGATCTGTTATGTTGATATATACTTTATTTCATTATCTTAAGAAGAGGTCTAGCAACTCCTCAAAACTTTGAATTATTTGATATTTTCATCTTATGCTTTCTCTGGTCACTTGACCTTTCTCTACTGACAAATGTCAGTCTCTGTACTTCTAACAGTTCCTTGCACATATTAAGCTTCAGGTTGTTTGAATGATGATAAATGACTGAATTCCTATAAATCCTTGACAGGACTTGTCTCACCAAAAAACTCATTTAACCACTTTTTTTACTTAGTCACTTAAAATTTATTGTTTTGCTTAAATCATTTTTATACCTTCTAAGATCTAACTTTTGCCATATAAATTTTTTTTTCTATAGATGTATGAAACATTTGAATTTTTAAAGAGTATATTCTTATCAAAATTTATAAGCTAATTTGAAAGCATTGAGGCTCTGGGAAGATTTCATCAGTATCATCTTGCTCTTTGTTCTATTAACAAAACAGAATGCCAGAGTTTGTGGGTGGAGGAAAAGGAGGATGTTGTTTTCATGCTTATACTTAAAAGGGAATAAATTCGCAGAAGTAGAAATTAATATTTTCTTGTCTTTGTGTGACTAGATAAAAGAATCCTGTTATGTCGTTTAATTCTTCTCTCCATCCTCTATGTGATATAGAAAGCTTATTGGATAATGCAACTGCTTTTAGCAAAAGATCCAAACAACTTCGAAGGCAAATGTGGTGGCGTGGATGCAAAGTAAGTAAATCAAAAAATATCAGGTAGATTGGTCAGCATCTCAAGTGCTGTTGAAAGACATGAAGAGAAAAGTAACTCTAGACAACCTCTGAGGACAGGAACTACAGCTATTTTGCTTATTAACACATTTTCTGAAGCTGGTCATAGTAGGCATTCGGTAAATATTCTCTAATTGTTTTGGGGACAGGAGTAACTAATGCAATGCCTAAAAGGATGTTTTCATGGATTTCTTTATAATAAATAATCCACATTGGGCCTCCCCTGGTGGCGTAGGCGGTTGAGTGCTGTGCTGTGAAGCTGTCTGCAGCCTCTGCAGCGCCGGTTCTATCCCGGCTGGCCGGCTTGGGCCCCACATGGTGAGGCAGACCTCTCCTGTATCGTCTGCTGCTCCTTTCAGCAGTGTGTTTCATCAGTCTGCCTGTTCTGCTCCCTGCTCTGTCTCTGGTAGGTCCTCTCACCCTCCCGCACATCTGGCCTGTACCCCGGTTCTTGTATAAATAAATAAATCTTTTAAAAAATTAATAAATCCACATTTTGGAGGTTTCTCAAAAATATTAAAAGATAGAACTTCCATATGATCCAGCAATCACACTCCTAGGTATCTACCCCAAGAATGCAGAAATGCTAATCAAAGGGATATATACACAACTATGTTCATTGCAGCACTCATTACAATAGCCAAGTTATAGAAACAACCTAAATGTCTGATGGCAGAGGGGCAGACTAGAAAAATGTGGTATAGGACCTCCCTGGTGACCTAGGGATTAAGTATCAGCACTGAGGCCTGAGTTCAATCCCTAGCCAGGGAGCTAACCCACATATGGCGCAGCAGACCTCTCCTGTCTCGCCTGCTGCTCCCCTTAGCAGAGTATTTCAGTAAATCCTCCTGTTCTGCTCCCCACTCTGTGTCTGGTGAATCCTCTCACCCCTGAATCTCTGGCCTAAACCCCAGTTCTTCTACACAAAAATAAAATAAATAAAAATGTATTTATACATAATGAAATATTACTCAACTGTAATAAAAAGATGAACTCTTGCCATTTGCAATTACATGCAACGTGAGAGATACGGTAAGCGAAATAATCAAAAAAAATATACACTGGATGGTTTCACTTATATGTGGAATATAAAGAAAACATAGGATCAGATGAAACCAAACCAGTAACAAACCCTAGAATACTGACTGTGGAATAGAGGCTACACAAGGGGAAGGAGGAGGAAAACACAGTGGGAAGGGGCCACAATGGACAATAGTGGAGGACGCTGGGTGCCTGGATTGTGTGATGTGAGGACATGCATCTGAGGAGGTGTGATCCTATGCCTCTGAATCACATACAGTGTTGTAAACCATTAAAAAATTATAGGGTCTCCCTGGTGGCACAGTGGGTTGAGTGCAGCGCTGATTCGATACCCTGCCGGCCAGGGAGATTCCCACATGGGCGCAGCAGACCTCTTCTGCCTCACCCGCTGCTCCCCTCAGCAGTGTCTTCGGTCAGTCTGCCTGTTCTGCTCCCCACTCTGTCTCTGGTGAATTCTCTCACCCTCCCATGCTACTTCTTCTGATCCCAGTTCTTGTATAAAATAAATAAATCTTTAAAAAAAAAATTATAGCTAACTAAAGTTTTATGCCCAAAAAAGTAATCCACATTTGATTAATACTTTAGTACCTTTACCTCATAAGAAATACTAATTCTTTTTAAATTTATCAGTACCTTCTTGTAATAACCTATATATAAAGATATTAAAAAGATAAGAAGTTAGAAAAAATATATAATTTTCTGTTGAAAAGGGACAAAATAAAAGCAGTTTCATGTCAGAATCTATTACAGCAAATGGGGCTAAGCAAAATCCTACTTTCCCTCATTATTCCAGAAAAATAAATTTAAGGAAAAAATGAGTCATAAACATTTCTGCAAAACATTTTATAGAAATGAATTTATCCCTTAAATTATGTATGACTTCTAACCATATAACAGGTTTCTTGTAAGATCTTATGGAAAATTCAATATCATGTGAGCAAATCTTTTTCCTTCTGATTGTAATTTTTTACTTTGTTGAAAATCATTTTTAGTCTCAAATTTAACAATAACTTTCTAAATTTGACTTTGCCATATGCAAAGAATTTCTTCCAAGAGTTACCTTGGTTTACTTGTCTACGTGTTGAAACTCTTTAGTTTCAGAAATAGAACTGAGGAAGAAACTTCTTTTGTTTCCCTTGTCTACAATGTAAATGTTCTATTTTCTTTAAGTGTTTCTAATTCTGTCAGAATGTTCTATTGTTTAGACTTGTTTGGAAGAACAAAGGTCCATGTAGCCACAGAAAGATGATTAATAAGGCTAAAAAAAACCTAGGTAAAAGGCACTTATCTAAAGATTTTGATTGTGTTTTATTTGGTTTAGCTCAGAGGAATTGTATGCTTTAAAGGGAAACAATTACATTTTTAAATTATATTTTTAGACAGTTTGTGTCACTCCCTATGCCTACCCTTTAGGAAGAGCTTTAAGAAAAGAAATATAGGATGAGAAAACAGGTCAGAGATTACCAGTGACTAAGGTAGTGGCTAGAGTTGACTACAACAGGGTGTGCAGGGACTTTTGGAGTGGTGAAATTTCACAGAGTGTGATCAAGGTGGTTTCTACTATATAGTTCTCAAAATTCATCAAAATGAATTTTATATAGAATAAAATTTGCCTTTTGAAATTGTAACACTAATCCGACTTCTAAATATCTAAGAGGCTCTTTACAGATTTTGTTTGTCATTTGGAAGAGAATTTTGGACATGCACAAATACATTACTGCCATTTTTGGTTTTAAAACATTTTCTGGCCATTGTTAGAAATCCAGTGAAGAAAATTAGTGAAATATTTTTAAAATTAACACTGATATTTCCATTTAAATTTTAAGCCTAGTGCAAATTAATGTGTTTTGGGTAAAGTTGAAAAATTAGTATCATTTTTCAAAATTAGTAATGTTTCAGGTTACAAAGGATGCAAAGCTTCCGTATAGTGCTATCACTTTGTCACTAAAATCATTAAAGTATAAGTCTTCAATGTGTTAATAGCTTCTTGGAAGCTGCAGTTTTACTTGAAACAACATATAGTCACACACCACTTACCAAGGATAAATTCTGAGAAATGTGTCATTAAGTAATTTCATGATCATGTGAATGTTATAGCATGTAATTAAATAATGCAGGTGCATAATGCAGCCTACTGCAGATCTAGATTATTGATGTAACCTATTGTGACCAACATTGTACAGGTGGTTCATTTCTGTCGAAACATCCTCAAGCAATGCCTGACTATATAATGAAACCAGCTGACCATTGGGTAATTGATATAAATAGGAATTTAGCTCTTGGGACATATTTCTAGTCACATTAACATCATGTAAAGACCCCAAACATATTCAGTCATTCATTTTCTAGCCCATTTGTTCCAGTTCAGAGTTGAGGTGACCAGAACCTATGCCAGCAGCTCAGAGCACAAGTTGAGTCACCACCTTGCTCAGGACTCCCTTCCATCACAGGGCACATGCACAGACATACTCAGACTGGGACAGCTTAGACACACCACTGAACCAAACATGCACATATTTGGGATTTGGAAGAAAACCGGAGCACTTAGAGAAAACTCACCTATGGAGAACTGCAAGCCACACAATTGACCCTGGCTAGGAATTTTTTTCTCATAACATAAAATGATGTTGAACAAAATGCTGCTAAGGATCTGCTGCACTTCAGTTTCTAGTATAGTGTGAACCCATATACCTACTGAAAATGTACTTCCTATATAGTCCATTGGATCTGTTTCTACATGTTTTGGTTATCTTTAACAAGCACTGGTATCCAAATTGTAAGGTTTCTATGTATTTTCTGGTTATTATCATAAATATGCCATAGAATATCTCCAGTAGTTCTATTTTGGAAATGTTTCATTAGCTACTCTGCTGTTTGTGATACTCATCTTTTTATAATAACAGGTAACTTTCTGAAAGAACTATCTTTAATCAGTAATGAAAACAGTTTTTACTGATTGGAATTCTTTAAAAATGAAATCAGTGTTACTTATGCATTTTAGCATTAAATGGTGAACATGAATTTTATATGGAGAAACATGAGCTTAAAATGTTAACCAGCATTAATCTTAGTTTCTCCTTTTTGAAGCTGACATATACAGTACTCCTATGCAAGTTGTTAAATGAGGTTATTCATGAAGAATCTTATATTTTTTAAGATTATTTATTTATACAAGAACTGGGGTACAGGCCAGATGTGCGGGGGTGACAGCACCAGAGACAGCATGGGGAGCAGAACAAGTGGACTGACAAAGTACACTGCTGAGGGGAGCAGCGGGCAAGATAGCAGAGGTCTGCCGTGCCGTGTGGGTTTCTCCCCGGCCAGCCGGGATTGAACCCATGCTGCAAAGTGTGTGGTCGGCTTCACAGTGCGATGCTTAACCACCTGCGCCACCAGGGAGACCCAAAATCTTATATTTCTAAAGAGATTAAAATGCCAAGAAAATAGACAAACAGAATTTTCATGCACTTTGAGAATGGTGTTAAAAATCCATTTGTATCAGATATCAATGTTGTATATTTGTATCGATATATAAATCCATTTGTATCAGATATCAATCATGACAGTATTGAACAGATGCTAAAATATGTACTTTTCTTGGTCTCATTAGAAATAAGCATTAGCATTAGAGGGCCTCCCAGGTGGCGCAAGGGGTTAAGCACAGCATTATGAGGCAAATCCGCAGCCTCTACAGCACGAGTTTCCTTGTCCAGTCAGGGAGCTACCCACATGGCGCAACAGACCCCTCCTGGCTCGCTCACTGCTCCCCTCAGCAGTGTATTTCAGTCAGTTTGCCTGTTCTGCTTCCCACTCTGTCTCTGGTGAATCCTCTCACTCCTCAAACCTCTGGGCTGTTCCCCAGCTCTTGTATGTATAAATAAATAAATCTTAAGGGAAAAAAAAGAAATAAGCATGAGAAATCAGACTGACCAAGTCCAGGCCTTTGGAGTCTCCAGTTATTACTGTTTGCTGTGCAATACAAGCTTGAACAGCAAAATCCAAGCAAGCAGCCCTTGAATTTGGAGAACTCTGCAAGTTCATGAGGAAAAAAATGGACAACTTTTCAAGAAATGAGCTTGTTTGAGGAATTATTATAATGCAGTAAGCAGCATGAGTCAGATGTTAATATCTTTCTTGCCTTTTTGTGTGTTGCAGATAAAAGCCATCATGGCTTTGGTTGCTGTTATCCTTTTGGTAGTGATTATCGGTAAGTATTTACCAGATTACTGGCAGGGAGGGTTATCATTTGTTAGAGTTCATTTTAATTCCCTTTTGAATTTACTTTCAGTTGACCCATACTCACTAATGTCAGGATAGGGCAATGACTTCTGACCCTACTTAGGATCTCAGAACCTAGAATCCATAGAGCATGTATATGCTTTTATGGGGGGAGCGTCTGTATATCTTTTATCAGATTCTCAAAGAATTCCATTCAGTCCCCTCTCTCCACCCACAGGACTGTCTGTTTGGTTCAAGGTCACATCTATCTATTGTTAACGCCAGAGCATTACACTCGTTTTCTGTTTATTACTAACTTACAGTACAGGTACTTGCATTTCATAATACTGTGTTTGAAGGACAAACTAGAAATTCTCCAGATTAATGTTTGGTATTTGACCCTGATTTCAGTCTCAATTAAAGCATAAGCTCTTGTCCTTCCTTAATAATCTCTTCAAGGTCAGTTCACTTTTAATGTCTCCTTTGCTCCATTGCTGAATTTTTGCAAAGATTTAGAAAGCGGCCCAAGATAACCATTTTAAAAAGAGAATCACCAGAGAAATTTTCAACAGAAGAAAAGTTTTGTGGATTCTGTGTTTGTGAATTCACCTGCTAGCTAGCCTTGATCAATACTTAAAGGGCTTTTGCAGCCATGTGTTGTGTTCATGGCACACAACCTGCTAATGTCCGGTGAGACCATGCTCTGCCTTCTAGTTTCAGCTCTTAAAATAAGTGTCCTTCACAGTCTATTTAGTGCCACATTTCTTACATTTTTGTGCATTTTATTGATGATTTCAATAAATGACCAAGTATTGTAGTGCTCTCTAGTGTTGCTAAGCACAGGATGGCTGTGATGTTCCTTACAGAAAAAGTACATAAGCTTCACTAAAGGCATGAGTTATAGTGTTGCTGACGGTGAGTTCAGTGTTAATGAATCAGCAGTATATATTAAATATGTTATCTTTAAACAGAAATATATGAAACAAGGCTTCGTATTAATAAAAATGTAGCCAGAGGCACACAAGAATTTAACCTGTTTCCCCTAGGGGCAATGTTTCAGTATTCGCTCATTGTTTGCGGTGATTTCATAGAACATAACTTTTGCAAACAAGAACCAACCATATATTTACAGTGTACAATTTGGAAAATGTGGAATAGCATAAAGACATAATTTAACTATAATATTACCACACAGATGGTTTCTGTTGATATAACTGATAGGAAAAAACTTAAAAGAGCATATACTTTAATTAAAAACTAAGATACTTATATGATTATTTCCCCATGTTATTAAATATTTTACCAGCTGTATGCTAGGGTTTATGCAATAATGTATTTGATGAAAATGCTAATGTTATACACATAGGTTGTTTAATGATACATGTGTTTTTCCATTTCCATTTATCTACTATCTCAAAAGTTCAGTTCTCATTTTCCATTTCCAAATAGGATTATTTCTAACATAGAATATGAATGAATATGATCTGATTTTGATTTTTTTTTATCTTGCAGTTTGTATAGTTATTAAATACCATACTTGATTTGATGAAAGATCTTCATTAAACAAAATCTGGGACAATAAAAGATTGCTGAATAATTTAAATGAAATCGATGTATATAACTTTCAAAACTTCTTTTTCAAGAAAGTAAGAGGCAAGTATCACTTCAAATTGGAGCATTGAGAATGTCCATTTATCTTCTTCCTGTCTAACAAAATGTGCTTTTAATAATTATGTTTAAGGCAAAGATAACCAGCCTTTCTATTTGCCATATTTCAAGGATCTAATTTGAAACTAGATACTTGTCAGTTCATTATTTGTGTACATTATTTGTGTATATAAAAGTTGATAATATTTCATAATGTGATTTTAATGGCCTAAGGACTTGCATTACTGCATTAAGATGAGGTCATTCTAGCAGTCAGCAGGCCTATGTAAAATATAAGTCATTATGCTAAAAAGATGCATTCTGGCAGTATTTGCAAGATTCTTCTCAATTGTTTTGCAAGCAATTTCCACATATTTATGGGTGTAACAAAAGCTAAATGTTGTAAATGTTGCTTACCTTTAGCTATAACTAAAAACATTCCAGCAAACCTATTTTTGACTGTATAAGGGAATGTGTACTAATTTTTTGGCATTTGGATTATGGAAATGGGACATTTAAACAGTGTGAAAGCATAATATGGCACCTTAAAACTGGAGATAATAAAATTATTGGATGTCATTGGAGTGTTTGAAATGAGCAATATATAGCTACAAATCATGTAGTTGTAGTTAATTTCCAACAAGGAGGGACCAACCCTGTGTGAATAAATGAAACCCACAGGTAACTTACTCCCTAATTTACTTCAACTAGCTTTTTACCAGAAGTGCTAAAGACAGCAAAAATCATCTGCTTAGAATTTGCCCTTTTTGCATTCCCTGATCATCCCCTGGGAGATGCATGTTGCACAATCAAGTGTCAAATTAGCAAACAGTAATGAGCGTAAAAGTCATGAGCCTCAGTATTCTATATACATCAGTCTGTTACCAGATGCTAGGCGTCACTATTAGTCTTTTTATAATAAAATGTGTTACTTTTAAAATGTTCCAACTTTCTTGTGTTGTTTAAAACAAATGAAAGTGAAAATAGTCCTCCAATGTGTGTGAGGAGTAAGGTTTAATAAAACTGGAGATTCTATAAAAATTTGTGCACATGGGCATCTTGATTATATATGTAACCTATACACACACACACACACACACACATACACCTACATATAGAATAGGTACATAAATTTGAAATAGGGTTAATGAAAAATACCGGTATTTTTTTTTAATATATGCCAGTTATTTAAATAGGAAAAAAGACCCTGTATAAATTTTATGTCTTTGGTCCTTTTAATTCAAAGTGTAGTATCTGGGGCAGTGGGGTTTTTGTTTTTTGGGTTTTTTTTTTTAAATAGAATTAGTACTAAGAGACAAAATATGTTCTTTAAGATTGGAAAGAAATTTAAAGGAGAGAAAAGGCAGGTTGAGATACCCAAGAACTACAAGTAATGAAGATCTAAATTTAAATGTTCTTTGCAGGCTATAAAGCTTAGCAAGTAAAAAGATTAAAAGTCTTAAATGCTATGATGTGTTGTCTCTGATCGCTCCAGTTTTTTTTTTTTTTTTTTAAGATTCATTTATTTATGCATACAAGAACTGAGGGACAGGCCAGAGCTGTCAGGGTGAGAGGATTCACCATAGACAGAGTGGGGAACAGATCAGGTGGATTGACTGATATACACTGCTGAGGGGAGCAGTGGGCAAGTCAGGAGAGGTCTGCTGTGCCATGTGGGTAGCTCCCTGGCCGGGGAATCAAACTTGTGCTGCAGTGGCTGCGAATAGCTTCATAGGTTGTGTCTTAACCCCTTGTGCCACCAGGGAGGCCCTGGTCTCTCCAGTCTTTGTCATTGTGAATGGCAGTTAATGTATTAATATAAATAGCTTAATAAATATTAAGTCCTTTTGCAAAGTAGGATGCCTAGGGAATTAACATTTTTAGAACATCAGTACTTAATATAGGTCAACAATGAAGATGTTTTACCTGAGTATACAGAATCAGTCATAACATGGGTATGTATGTCCTTTACTTGGTATTAAAACTGTACTCAATTTTCTACTAGATGGTGTAGAAATCTGTTTTCTCCATACCAGAAATGATGAAAATGATCAAAAGGAATCCACATTTCCTATGTTTGTTTTAATAAGATATGCCACTTTTTAAAAAGTGTAAAAATTTACTCATATGGAAGTATTTAAATGACAGTATATACATGTATTTAAATATATTGCAGCTGAAAATGCTGGTGGTGGATGTGTCACTCATTAGCCCTTTCTAATCTTGGTGGCTTTGGTTCATAGTTTATCATTTCGTTTGGTTTTGATTAATCCTGAGACCCTTAAAGTGGCTGGAATGTTTATGACTTTAGTGTGAGAACCTTGGAGTGATGAGCCCTCTTAAATCAAAGATTTTTCTGGTTTTTCTATGTTTTTCAAATTGATGTCAGGCCTATCTTCCCTCCCTTAATCATTGTTTTTCTCATTCAGTTCATTCGGCTCAGATCATCCTGCATTTGAAACATGAAGTTTTACCACCATCAAAACTATTATTTAACAACAATGAAGATCAACAGAAAAATTCAAGTAGCCTTGTAAATATTAGTTGATACCCAATGAAATCAGGTTGCTATTTTTATTTATAATGCCTGAAATATACCCTCGTGATTCATGTTTAATTACAGAAGCCTGCTGCCTTGCAGCAATTTTGTGATAAAACTGATTAGTTAACCCCTTCTGATCATAACCCAGTAATACATGTGACCTTTGTCTCTTGTCCTGAGAAAACTCACTGTAAACTGTCCCTAGTTTTATGAACTTTGATATTTCTTAACTAAAGGAAAGTTCATTATTGAAAATGGACATTATCTAAAATGGAGGAAGGATCATTTGTTCACATCAGATACAGAAATACCCTGTTAGCTTTCTTGTAGATCGCTTATATTGTCTTTCTGTGCACTAACTCTGCTTTAAAAATTAACTTCAGCATCTGTGTTAGCAAAAATCGGCATCTCTCAATTCTGTGTAGCCTGTATCTTAAATGATGATACATGTACACACTGAGGAAGGTTAAGAACAAAAAGAAATTGAAATTCTCATGGTCAGTACACTCAAACATGCTTGGTGCCCTATCACCATTGTTACCCACCTGGTTTCTGTATCTACATCTGTATATACACTGATTAAAATATACAAGGATTGTCTTTTCATGTTGAGAATGAATGCCATTAGGTGGCCTTAATTGTATGGAGGCAGAGTGTCATTAAGACTAATGAGGCAAAACAATGTCCTAAGTGTTTTTCACATGGAAACATGATTGAAATCTGTTTTTCTATAAGTGGGGCGCAGTAGCATGAATCAGCTGGAAAGCACTTAAACATTTGTTTTAGAGTGCAGTGCAGGGCTTCTATTTGTGCAGGAAATTGCCACCTGCAGGTCACAGGAGTTGAAAGTGCCCTACTTCTTGATCACTCTTCTTCCCCCCCGTATTCTGGACAATTTGCTTAGCCTGATGTCAGGATTGGGTCTTTACATTTGATGGTGGTCTTGCTCTTTCTGGAAATCAAGTAGAATAAGGGATGGGAAATACAAACTCTTACCCCAGCTCCTGTTTTATTCTAAGAAGCTGCTTGGAACAAGTCAGTAAGAATTGAAAGGAAATCATCACTGACCCAACTAAAGGGGATAAATGGGAAAACACAAAGTACACCATAAATTTCTGTCTCCATGGCACCTAACAGTGTTGTGTCCCTGACAGTTGCGTATGCCCAGGAATCACAGACACAGTGTGCTATATAATATAGTACGTAAGTGAGAGTTGACTTCCATATCCCTCACTGAAGAGATGACATGATTGACAAGGCAGTGGGATCTCTGGCCTTTACCAGGAAATAGTAGTGTTCTCTTAGAATAACTGGGTATAGGAGTCCTGATTTTCCAGTATTTCATTAGGTTTTCATTTAAAGAGGTCTTGAAATTAAATGAAATCATCTTAAATATTTTAAGGCTTTAAAGGGATTTCAGTTAGTAAAATGTCAGAAATCAAACTAAAAAAAAAAATCAAGGACTTTATTTTATGCCTTGGGTGTGTGTCATTTTAAATTTTCACACTCCTTTAACCATTTTGATTTAAGTGCCTTTGGTGTTTTAAGATACAAGGTGGGAGAGGAGCAAATGTAAATGCCATGCTCTGTTCTTTAGCTTCTCAGTCCTTTGAACTATTTTCACCAGTGCTTGAAAGTTAGTCCTTTGTGTTCTTACCAGATTTGTATTTGTAGCTACATCATAGTAAGCAGTAAAATAAACTATTTCATAGAAAACAAAATTAAGCACTTTGGCTTATAATTTACTATGCGTTACCTGTTGCCTTAACTTCAAAGTTTAGCTTGTTTAAAATATCTGGCTAATCATCTGATTTAATCCAGACCAGTTTTCTAATAAAGTATAGAAAGGGAAAAGAAAAAGTGTCCTACTACCAAAAACTATGTCCAGTGCACAGCCTATTGGCAAAATTTAGGAGGAATTTCTCAGTATAAAAATCAGTGTATCTCTTGGGCCTCCATACTGGCGCAAGGGCTTGAGCGCCGCACTATGAAGCAATCCACAGCCACTGCAGCACAAGTTTGATCCCCGGCCAGCCAGAGAGAAACCCACATGGCGCAGCAGACCTCTCCTGACTCGCCCGCTGCTCCCCTCAGCAGTGTATTTCAGTCAGTCTGCCTGTTCTGTTCCCCACTCTGTCTCTGGTGGATCTTCTCACCCCGCATCTCTGGCCTGTACCCCAGGTCTTGTATGCATAAATAAATAAATCTTTAAAAAAATATAAGTGTATCTCAGTGACAGAAAAAAAAAACAATTGGTAGAATATTCATACTGTAACTCAGTGACATCTATGTGGAAAAGAACAGATTTCTTAGACTTACAAATTCCAGTCAGAAAACCTGACACCTCCCCCTCCACTATATGGTGCTGCTTTTAGAGGCAACCAGAGTATTGTTTATTCTTTCCAACCACATGCTAAATTTGGTCTTTTTAATACTCCAAAAAGGTGTGGGAAGAACATGTCGGTTGGCGGGGGGCATGTTTTATGCTGAAATAGTTTCCACAAAGAAAATACTGCATTCAAAAATGGAGATGGGAAGCATCCTAGTTATGCATTCTGAGAACAACAGGATTTAATCTGACCATTACGCATGTGAGAGAACCTGGCAGGAAGGTCAGATCCTACCCACATCCAACAGAATTGCACTTAGTGAACCCCTAAGTGCAGAGGCCAGATGCTGCTGTGGAGGAGTGATCACGAGTCTCTCTCATTCAGAAGGGTTTTGGCTACTAGCAACATGTGCCGCTGAGCAGCGCCCAGGTCAGTGCACTTACCCCATCTATTGAGTGACAGAACTAGATTTTCATCTGAGATGGAAAAAGAGTACGCATGGCTTATGAGCTCACTGTATCAGTAAGGGAGAGCATTCTTCTGTGTCTCCCCCGGCAACATACGAACCTGTTGTTTCTTCTTTTAATATCCCAGCTATCTCCCTACTTTCTTTTAAGTCCTCATAAGACACATTCCTTGCTCCACTCCTAATAGAACAACAATTAGGCAAGAATGGATAACCCCTGGGATGGTATCCAGCAGCACAAAGATGAAGCTGAAGCAACCCTGCACCTCAAAGACCAACAGTGATTGTATTAGAAAGGATGCTGAGGAGAGTGACTCACTGGTGTGATGGAGGTGGAGGGACAGAGTCCAGAGACGGTTCCGGGGAGGAGAGGATGGAAATGGCAAGGCTGCTTACACAGTCAAGGGGCCCGAGAAAGGAGATGATTTGGAAGCACACATCCTTGGCTCAGGTAAAACCCAGAGGTGCTAGGGTATTTCTATATAAGCTGGAACCACAGCAAAGAGGAAAACAGAATATCTAGATTACACTCGCCCTCCCCACCCAATGGAATTCTACTCCTCGAGTCTGTACTAGCACAATGAGGTATACTGGCAGCACAAAAACTACCAAGTCTCAGGTGTGGACCCCAGAAGAGGGTTAATAGCAGTGCTATGCACATGTCTGTGACAGCAGCTGACCTTTTCATGGTTCTCCCCTATTGACATAAGTGACAGCTAAACTGACTGGCCTATACATATACACTAGCCAGCAGTAACAAAAATAAAGGCATAGTACCACCTTTTGGAAAAGTAAAAGATAAGTAGCTCAGTAAAAGATAAGTAGTTCATTGAGATTCTAAATACACAGAAATAGAGCAACTATGGACCAGAGACACACCATGGGGTGGGTGGGGAGAGGAGGGATTGGGGTCAAAATAAGGGGTGTGCAATTGTATGGGGAATATAAAAAAAAATCTTAAAAAAAAATACACAGAAAAATGCAACAGGCCACTTGAGACCTCAAAGTAGTATGACCAGTAGTATGACCACAAGAGAATGACAAATCTCCAGAAACCAAATTCAAGGAGATAGATTACACCTGTCTGAATGGATAAAGAATTCAAAAAACCTATCATAAAAATTCAAGAAAAGGGCCTCCCCGGTGGTGCAGCAGTTGAGCACTGGGCTGCAAAGCTGCCTGTGGCCTCTGCAGCACCGGTTCGATCCCCGGCCACCGGCGAGGGTCCCACATGGTGTGCAGACATCTCCTGCCGCCCGCTGCTCCCCTCAGCAGTGTACTTCGTCAGTCTGCCTGCTCTGTGCTCCCCTCTGGCTCTGGTGAATTCTCTCACCCTCCCTGCGCTTCTGACTATACCCAGTGCTTGTATAAATAAATAAATAAATAAATCTTTAAAAAAAAAATTTCAAGAAAAAAGTCACACCACAAGATTCAGAAAAGCAATGACCTCAGAAATAAATTAAACAAGGTAAAAAATACAACTTTTCAATAAGAAACTAAGATTCAAAGTGTGAAGCACTCATTATGTGAGATCAAATGCTATAGAAAGCCGTGGAAACAGACCTAGTAGAACCAATCAGTGAACTCAAAAATAGAAAACCAGAAATGGGGCCTCCCTGGTGGCACAAGGGGTTAAGCACAGCACTGTAGAAGCTATCTGCAGCCTCTGCAGCACAAGTTCAATCCCCAGCTGGCCAGGGAGGTACTCACATGGCGCAGATCTCTCCTGACACTCCTGCTGCTCCTCTCAGCAGTGTGTTTCAGTCAGTCTGCTTGTTCTGCTCCCCACTCTGTCTCTGGGGAACCCTCTCACCTCCCGCACCTCTGGCCTGTACCCCAGCTCTTGTATGCATAAATAAATAAATCTTTAAAAGAAAAAGAAAACCAGAAATGATCCAGATGGAGGAATAAATAACATTTTTTTTTTTTTTTAATGAAGAGACACCCAACTCCATTAGGAAAGATACCATAGGAATATACCTGTATCTCAGAAGGTAGAAAGAAGGAAACAACTATTTCAAAGAAACAAGCCTCTGTACATTTACGAAGATTGAAATCTTTCTGGACTACAATGCATGAAACAGAGAAACACCAAAAGAACAAGAGGGGAAGGCCACAAAACTGTGGAGAACAAATAACATACTACTGAACAATTATTGAGTCAGTGAAGAAATCAAGGTGAAATAACATAAGCTTATCCCATAATGAACTACAAAAAGGAAAGACAAAACCAAAAGTTGGTACAAGGAAATAAAAATTAAAAGCATAAATGAGATCAAGGAGACAATTCAAAAATAATACCAAGAACCAGTTCTTTGAAAAGATTAACAAAATAGATGAACCTTTAATCAGATTCACAAAGGAAACAAATCAGGGAGAAAAAGGAGCAGTTATGGTATTACGGAAATACAAAAGTGTTATGAACACTTACATGGCAACAAGTTGCAATAAATAGACAAATTCTTAGAAACATAGAGCATTTGAGAATAAATCAGGAAGACATAGACAATGTGATCCGTCCTATCACAAATAAGGAAATTGAAACAGTAATCAAGGTTCCCAGACACCAAAAGCTTAGAACCAGATTACTTCATTAGTGAACCCTAGCAAACTTTCAAAGAATACTGTAGTTCTTAAATTCTTCCAAAAATCTGAAAAAGAGGGAAAGCTTCCAAACATATCCTATGAAGCCAGTATTTCCCTGGTTCCAAAACCAGACAAGGACCTCAGACAAAAGAAAACTATAGACCAACATTTGATTTAAAAAAATCTGATGAACATAGATACAAAAATTTTTTACAAAATACTAGCAAACAAAACTCATCAAAAATATCCTATACCGGCCTCCCTGTAGCCTGGGGGTTAAGGCTCAGTGCTACCACCACAAAGGCAGACCTCTCCTGTCTCGCCTGCTGCTCCCTTTAATGGATTTTAATAAATCCAGCTGCTCAGTTCCCTACTCTGTCTCTGATAAATCCTCTCACCCCCTGTACCTCTGGCATATACATCCCAGTTCTCTACACCAAAATAAAAAAAAAAATCTTTAAAAAAAATAAGTGTCATATACCTGATCAAGTGGGATTTATTCCAGGGGTGGCTCAACACACAAATTGGTAAACATGATGTACCACATCAAAAAAAGGACAGAAATATCGCAATAGATGTAGAAGCAGCAGCGGTCAGAATTCAACCTCCTTCCACCCTTGGAGCAGCGGTCGAGACAGGAGAGGTCTGCTGTGCCATGTGGGTAGCTCCCTGGCTGGGGATTGAACTCAGGTCACAGAAACCATAAAATACATAGAAGGAAAATAGGCAATTCATTATTTGATACCCATCTTAGAGATGTCTTTGGAGACTACTCCAATGCTAAAAAAGCAAATAGGACTATTTCGAAATAAAAACTTTTTTTTTTAAGATTTATTTATGCATATAAGAGCTGGGGTTCAGGCCGAGATAAGGGGTGGGGGGGGGTGGTGAGAGGATCCACCAGAGACAGAGTGGGGAACAACAGGCAGACTGACTGAAATACACTGCTGAGGGGAGCAGTGGGTGAGAAGTCACGAGAGGGCTGCTGTGCCATGTGGGTTTCTCCCTGGCCAACTGGGCATTAAACTCGTGCTGCAGAGGCTACGAATTGCTTCATAGTGCGGTGCTTAACCCTTGCACCACCAGGGAGGCCCAATAAAAACTTTCTGCACAAAAAAAAAAAAACCCTGAACAAAATGAAAATATATCCTACTTAATGAGAGGAGGTATTTATACATCATACATTCAACGAGGGGTTAAGTGCCCAATATATGAATGTAAAGAATTCATAAAACTCAACTAAAAAAACAATCATTTAAAAATGAACAGAGAATCTGAATAGACACTTTTCAAAAAAAATTTAGATGGCCAACAGGTATGAGAAAAGATGTTCATCATTTCCACAAAGAGAAATACATATCAAAGTGACAGTAAGATAGGAGTATGTGTCACACTTGTGAGAATGGTTAATATTCAAAAAGTGAGAACCATCAAGTGTTGGAGCGATGGGAACCCTTGCACACTGTTGGCGGGAATGTAAAATCTGCACAGCCATTATGGAAAGCAGTATGAAAATTCCTCAAATCATTAAAAATAGAAATTCCATATGATCTTTATCACACTTCTGTGTATTTACCCAAAAAATACAAAAAACACTATTATGTATAATAGCCAAGAACTGGAAACAACCTAAGTATCCATCAATAGATGATTATAGAACATATGGTGATGATTATAGAACATATATATACACACACACAAGGAAAGCTATTTTTAAAAACTGCTTCCATTTTTAGCAAAGTGGAGGGACCTAGAGTTTTATGCATAATGAAATAAGTATGATGGAGAAAGACA